CTGTAATCGTCGCTGTGAAGCCGCGCCGCCATCAAATCCACAACGCTACTTCCATCAAATGCACAACGGAAGATTGGACAATCGTCTTTTTCCTCTCCTCTTCTTGCGGATCATCATTTTTCTCTCCCGGATCTGACGAAATTTCTCTTCTGCGCTCCACCATTTCCAGATCTGACAAAAGTCCTCGCAGAATGTCATTTTCCATCTCTGTCGCGGTCCCCATCTTCTCCTTTCTTCTAGGGTTCGGTCTGGCTACAGTTACGTTTGAGGTGGTAGTGGACGGTGTTGGGTGACGGTTTGGTTGGGGTCGGCGGCGCAGGGAGCTGGGATGGTTGTTGAGGGGGCAGGAAGGGTCATGGAAGGGACTGGGATGATTGTGGAGGGGGTTGGGATGGTTGGGGAGGAGGCTGGGAAGGTCGGAGAGGGGGTTGTGGGTGGTGCAGCGACGATGGTGTGGGGTGAGCACAGGCGGTGACGGTAGTGTGGGGTGGACAGCGGTGGTGGTGTGGGGCAGGGGAGTGGAGGACATTGACGGTGGTGTGGGTGGGAAATTGGCGGTGGTGCAAGGTCGAGTTGTCTAGGAGTTGGGGAGTTGTCAGCGGAGTGGTGGTGGGAGCTGATCGGAGGACAGTGGTCGGAGGCCGGCGGTGGCAGCTAAAGTTACGCGGGTGGCGGCTAAAGTGACACAGACGGCTAAAGTGACACAGACGGCTACAGTGACACGAGAGGTGGCTACAGTGACACGGGCGGTGGCTACAGTGACACGGGCGGTGGCTACAGTGACACGGGCGGTGGCTACAGTGACACGGGCGGTGGCTATATTGAGGCGGGCGGTGGTTGTAGTGACACGAGCGGTAGCTACAGTGACACGGGCGGTGGTTGCAGTGACATGGGTGGTGGCTGTAGTTACAAAAAAATGAACACACAGTGACATAAAATTTTTGCAGTTACATCATGTTTTCTAATTGCACATATATGACCTTCGTGATCACTTTTTTGCCCCTTTTTAAAAGTGGTCACTTTTTGGGTAATTGGTTCAAAATTAGTAATATCCAAGTAAAAACCCCCATAAATTTTGAAGGCACAAACTTAAAAAACTTATACTAGTACTCTGGGTTCAATAAGGCCGAATAAGGCTGCTTAAAGGAGGGCCCAGTTAATCAGCCCATTAGCATGGAGAAGAATAACTTATACACAATTACTAGAGTTGAGTTCTTCCCACCATCGGTGTGGGAAATTTAAATTGGAAATGAAGACTGAAAACCAAAACTTATTGCATGATCTGGTGAATTTTATAAGCGGGTAGTCCCTTTTAAATTAATTCTCTTCATTCAACAAACGAACAATGAAGAGAATTATTGCATTGAATGTTCCTTAGTAATAATGGAACATATGATTGTCCTAGACAATAATAGTAATGGAACTATAGTCGGTTTGGTACTCATATTTCCATTTTATCAGTGTTATCAGCAACTACTTTATCAAATGCGTAATTTCTAACTACACATACTAAATTGTGTAACAACCAAAATAATTCAGATTATAGTTACTATTCTTGTTAAATTGACTGAAGTTGCTATAATATTATATATGGAATCTAATAGGAGGTAGTAAAAAACAACAATATATCATTTTGAATTACACTTTTTATACATATAAAAATTATATATATTGACCAAAGTAAAAGTTAGGCCAAATCTTGTACTCCGTATAATATATTTTGGACGCTTATATATTTTCTTCATATATCACTATAAAGTAGTAATTATTAATAGAAATTTAATAAACATTTTCACGCCTAGGATATGCCTATATATTCCCACCTAGGCTTCAAAGACTTGAGGCTTGGCCTCAACGTCTTGCCACGCCTCATCATCGCCCTCACGCCTTTTAGAACACTACTAGTACTATGTACTCCCTCCGTCCCTTAAAACTTTGTCAACTTCCATTTTTTGGATGTCCCACTAACTTTGTCACTTTCCCTTTTAAGTAAAGAATTTGTGGTTCCAGTTAATTCTCTCTCCTCTGCACAAACCTCTACCACACAATTTTTACTTTATTAATCACCGTGCCGGACAAACTTGGCAAGTTTTAAGGGACGGGGGAGTATGACATATCAGCTCAAGTTCAAGGAAAAGGAAATTGAGAGAGAAGTAAAGAATGGCTTTGTACACTAAACAGCTTTGGGACTTGACGGACTTCTGAATTTTAACTTAAAATTTGTAAACACGCGCAGAATTAATTGAAGATTTCAATAATTGGTAGTAGTAATGTTACCAAAGAAATTTGTTAGCTTGGAGCTTGAAAATGAAAGGCCTAATTTTTATTGTCCATATTCAACATGCAACGAGTGTACATACTACTCCTAACAATTCATTTACTATCTATATCAAAGAGGCTGCAACGTTCCATACCATTATATATGTCATGCCGAATATAACTTCAAGTTCCCTATGCATTTCAACGCAGTTCTAACGTCACTTTGACAAATAGGGTATGTTTGACATAATTAGTTAGAAAAAATATTTTTGTGAGCTTTTTAGTAATAGTTAGCTTTTAGTGACTGAAAATATGTTACAAAGAAAAAAGGGTAGCAGTTTGGTAAAAAAGCCGACTGTTTGATTTAGTTTTGTTTGGTATAGAAGCTGTTGGGACTTTTTTTTAAAGAACTGGAATTAATTATCATTAAATGCATCATTGGGACTAACTAATGCATCATTAATTATTTAAGCCGACAGTCTTTTCTCATATGCTACTCCCTGTAGCATTTAAAAAAAATCTTTTATTTTTTTAAAAAACTCTTAAAATTGTCTTACCAAACATACAACTAGAAACTTTTAGAGGATTTTTAAATAATACAAAAGTTAGAAGGCACAAACTTATGCATGCCAAACATACCCATAGTTACGATAATATTTCTCAATTTGATCAAAGTCATTCTTGCTAAAGCTAGACATTTAATTAATATGTAGTCATGTGCCGTCTTTTAGGAGGTGCAATATGTGTGCTTGACATCGGGATCCACTTTTATAGGGGTCCCCAAAAATTTTTATATGTAGTAATAGTTACATTTTTTATTTTTCAAGACGTTATGTATTATTCGAGATTCCAAAAGTTAAATAACTTTTAGATGTCTAATTTATGTACTTTAAACATCATAGAACTTATATTCCATTGAACTAACTACTCTATTTGTACTCGGTGTGAAATTTTGTATTTCTTGTTGTTTTAGGGGGACCAATTCGCCTTTTGGGATAGGAGCCTCCAAATTGATTAGGTAGCCTTGTTGGGATGAATGTCTGATCTTGATTCTTGAGTGATCTAAAAGTAATCAACTGATTTGAAACGTTACTAATTGTAGCGTTTTAATTAAGCCCTTTAATTTATTGCAAGATTATATCGACTTTAATCACTCCCATATTGTTATTCAAATTTTATTAAGACCTCCAGATCATCTTTCTTTTTTTGTTAGCAGCCACACTGTCGTAAAAAAATCTACCGAAAAAGTGATATTAGTGGATTCTTTTTTAAAAAATAATCCAAGTAGAACTGAAAAATTCAAAGAGGACAATAGATTGTTGATCTCCTTGACGAGGCGCACCTCCCAATATTTTTCTTTTAATTTTTCGGAGATTTTTGAAAATAAGAATTAATTTTTCTATGACATTAGACATCATGCCCCAACTGTGATAAATGAATTGAAATACATGTCTCACTTTATTAAAAAATGAAACACGTGCTCTTACATGAAAACGGCTCAAATTATGTTTACATGACTACATGAGACCGTGACACAGTACTAATGGTATCCAGATAGTCTTTTCTCAAATTATGTTTACATGACTACATGAGACCGTAACACAATACTATCTATCTATAGTATTCTATAAGTATTGTTGTATCCAGTAATCCAGATAGCAATTAACAACGTTTTGAAATTTAATGGTTGTATATTTCATCTTATAAAAATGTTGTGAAACATTTTAAAATCTTGAAATAGGTCATCATTCTCGATATCTCTTGTTTCGCCATCTTGTAAAGCACACCCAAATTTCTTACAAAATTCTTTCAAGTTTCAACTAGTCATAAACCAATAATTTCAAGGCCATGAACTAAACCAAAAAACATATGAAAATTGCTATAGGTACCTCAAAACTTACCCCATCTTTACCCCATATAAATACTCCCCCCCACTTTTCTCCTCCCTCCTCCCTCTCCCACTTTTCTTCCCCCCTCCCTCTCTCCCGATTCTTCGTTCCTTTCACACAGCCCTTCCCCTCCCTTTTCTCTTTTACTTTTCTCCATTTCAAGATCTATCCCTTTCTTTAATGTTTCTCATTTTTACCATCTTTTCCTCCTCCAACCTTCTTCTCCTACTTCTCTCCTCTTCCGCCTTTTTTCCGTTTCAAATGGCGGAGCTACAGTAATCGGACGATGGGGAGAGCTAGGTGAACAAGAAGGAACAACGAAGGTGTAGACCAAGAAGTTTTAAATGACTTGAGAGCAGATCTTATTTTCTTGATTTTTTGTTCTTGATTTTGTTTTCTTGTTTTTTTGGGTGTGCTTTCAAAATAAAAAGGGATGTCTGTCAGACAGACAACTTGTAAGTGCAGTGTCTGTATTTGTTAGTAAGACTCGTGAAGTTGTCTGTCATGTGAAAAATAAATGTCTGTAATTGATATTTAATTGTCTGTCATTTGCTTGTAAGTTGTCTGTATTTTTTGAGTTGTCTGTCATGTTGTTGTGAGAAGTCTGTAAGAGTCGTGAAGTTATCTGTCTGTAATTGATGGTTAATTGTTTGTCATTTGTTTTGAGTTGTCTGTATTTGTTTTTGAGTTGTCTGTGTTTGTTTTGATTTGTCTGTATTTGATTGTGAGCTATATGTAATTACTTTATTTGATTGAGATGCAATTAGTCTAACAAGACAAGCATTAAATATACACATACAAACATTACTTTATTGTGAGTTACCATATTGGCATATGTTTCATAAAAAAGACAGACAATACGTATTACTAGACAGACAATATAGATAACCAGACATACATTATTTTTCACCACAAATTTCATACAACTCAAAATGAAATGACAAACAACTAAATATCAGTTACAGACAACTTCACGATTCTTACAGACAAATACAAATACAAACAACTAATAAACAAATGACAAATAATTAAATATCAATTACAGACATTATTTTTCAAATGACAGACAACTTCACGACTCTTACAGACACTGCACTTACAAGTTGTCTGTCAGACAGACAACATTCTTTATTTCGAAAATACAACAAAAATCAAGAAAACAAAATCAAGAAAAGAAGATCTGCTGCTACTCAAGTTATTCAAAGCTTCTAGATTTGCCTTCATCATTGTCTTCCCTTGAGGTTGCATTCGAAATGGCAACCGCTGTAGGCCGGCCGCCGGCAAACGACGTAGGGTCGCCGTCGGTAACGTCACCGGTGGAGAGGAGATAAGCAGGAGAAGATCCAAGGTTGGATGGGGAAAGATGGTAAAAATTGGAAGTCTAAATAAGGAGAAAAATATTGAAATGGAGAAGAAAGGGGAAGGGAGGGGCTGCGTGAAAAAGAGGAGAGGGAGGAAGAGAGGTGGGGTGCAGGAGAGAGGGATGGAGGGGAGGGAAAAAGTGGGGGAGGGTGGAAGGGGAGAAGGAAAATGGGAGAAAGTTTTTATATGGGGTAAAAAATGGGGTAGGTATGAGGTATCTATAGCAAAATTGAAAACATTAGTCTGAGAGAGTTTCATCTATCTAATATACTCTGTGAAGAGCTTAAAGTAGATATCACTTGGCATAATGTTGATATATAAAAACACTTTAAATAATCCTTATGTGACATATCCTCATTACAATGTTGTTTTCTCAAATATAGGTTCAAGCCTCATTTTCATACGCATGGAATGTTTAACTCTCTCCCCTTGATTGTTGATACTTGTTTAAGCATCATTCAAATTGTCCATATTCAACATGCAACGAGTGTACATTCCACTTCTAACAATTTACTATCTGTATTAAAGAGGCTGCAAAGTTTCATACCATTATACATGTCATGCCGAATATAACTTAAAGTTCCCTATGCATTTCAACATAGTTTTAACGTCACTTTTTGACAAATAGTTAGAATAGTAATTCTCAATTTGATCAAAGCTATTCTTGCTAAAGTTAGACAATTAAGAGGCCGTTTGGCAACACTGTTTTTCGGCTAATCAGGCTTATCAGCCAACTTTTTCACCAAACACATTACTTTTGCTTTCGCGTACTGAATTGTGTATTGGCTGAAGTCACTGTAGCTGACCATTTTAGCTATTTTTACATATATTTTTTTTGTTTATTTTATTAATAAAATATATTTTAAAAATAATTTTTTTCTTAAATCAGCAGAATCAGCCAATGCAGTCACTTCAGCCAAAACTTCATAAATTTCAGCAGAATCAACCAAAACGGCCAATTTTGGTGTTACCAAACGGGCTCTAATATGTAGCCTTGAACCGTCTTTTAAAAGGTGCAATATGTGTTTGACATCGGGACCCACTTTTATAGGGATCCCAAAAAATTTATATGTGGAAGTAATTGCATTTTGATTTTTCTAGACGTTATGTATCATTCGAGATTCCAAAAGTTGTTTAACTTTTAGATGTCCAATTTGTGTACTTTAAACATCATAGAATTTATATTTCATTGAACTAACTACTCAATTTGTATTTCAGTGTTAAATTTTGTATTTTTTCTTGTTGTAAGGGATCTCAATTCGCATTTTGGAAACGGAGCCTCCAAATTGATTAGGTAGCCTTGTTTGCATGAATGTATGATCTTGATTCTTGACTGGTTCTAAACCTAATCAACTGATCTTGATAAATTAAAGCCCTTTAATTTATTGCAAGATTATGTCGACTTTAATCGCTTCACCATATTGTTATTCAAATTTTATTGTGTTTATGGTATTTTACATTCTTTAGTCGTTATTTCACTATTTCAGATCAATTGTCAAATGAATATACTTAATTCTATTAGCATTTCTGTTTCAACAATTCCTACCTAAATCAGACCTAAATGAGATTCCTTCACCTTTCATTTTTTCAAACACAGCCTAACAACATATTTAAGCTCTATTCTATAATCATCAGTCATCACTCATCACCCGGACACAGAGCACCAAAAGTTCTAATAATGGTTGACTCGCACACACAATAGTTCTCTAGTTTTTACTCCGTATTTTTTTTTATTTTTTCAAATTTCTTTTTTTTTGAGGGATATTTTTTCAAATTTCTGGGAAAGCGGTCGTACTTGAATTCTATATTTTCCGCTCATATGAATATATGATCATCATCTTATTCAAAACCCCCAATCTTTAGGAAAGAAAGCCCTAATTTGTCACTGATGCCTTGGATGATCTCACCATTACCATCCTTATCCGGGACTTTCGATTGGGTCAAGCACAGTTTGCTGAACAGCTACTCACCACCAACATGGGCTACTTTGATCGGAGGATTCTTCACGGTTCTGTCTCTCGGCCTCTCTGTTTACCTTCTGCTCGAACACCTCTCAGCTTACAAGAATCCTGAGGTCATATTTTTATTTTTTTTATTCTTTTTGCAAAAGAGCGTAGTTTTAGACATGAATATCTGCATTGCTCGTCTTGCATTGGTTTTAAATGTAGGTGACAATGTAAATGTAAACTCTTGAGTTTTGATTTATGTTGGGCTATTGGCAGGAGCAAAAGTTTTTGATTGGAGTGATATTGATGGTGCCTTGCTATGCTATTGAATCTGTGAGTCTAGTTCAACTCCATTTGAGATTTTGATTACGTTATTATTGTTATTATCGTTATGTTATCTTCGTATGTATTTCAAGCTTATATTTATCCCACTTCTAGTTGCATAGCCCCTTGAAGAAAATGTTAAAATGAAATAATTGATTGTTCTCATTTGTCAATTGCCAGAAATAATTGAAGAAAATGTTAAAATGAAATGTTAAATGATGATTTCTTTCAGTAGGACATGGCCAGCTAAGGCTTAATATGCTAAGAGAGCTTGAGGTTCTTCATAAGAACATTCTTCGTATATAGAAATGCTATTGTTTGAAAAAGCTTAACTAACTGTGACTGGGCTGATAAATGGGCCGTTTTAGCTCCAGGCAATCTCTTCCCTTTTGTTCCAGCACTCCAGTGGCTTGTAGCGCTTGCTCAAAGTTTATGAAGTATTAGTCTGTTCCTAATTACTCCCTCCATCCCATAGAAAGGTTCCCACTTTCCTTTTTTAGACGCCTCGTCTAAAGGTTCTCATTTCCATTTTAGGAAAAATTAAAAACCTTAAATGACAATTATCAACACTAACCCCATTATATTGTATACCTATTACAATTATTTCTCAAAATATACACGAACTATCTTATTTAATTATTGTATAAATAACCGTGCCGTTTTGCCATGGGAACCTTTCAATGGGACAGAGGTAGTACTATTTAATAGAATTTACAAGTTTGATGGTTTTTGTTGCTTCAAACTGGTTCTAAACACAATCCAACATTGTCAGGTCTATATATTTAGTTTGGTTATTGCCTTTTGTCAAATAACATATGTAGTATAATGTACTAGATCTTCCTGTTGCTGCAGCGCTCCGTTCTGCATTACATAAATCTAATGTGTACACTGATGTGGGTTTCTTTTTTCAGTTTGTATCTTTGGTGAATCCAGCAATCGGTGTGTATTTGGAAATATTACGTGATGGGTATGAGTCCTTTGCTATGTACTGCTTTGGAAGATATCTTGTTGCCTGTTTAGGTAAGCTGTTAGTTAGCCTGTTAGTTTTGGATCTTTAAGTTTGATACTTCGATTCCATATAAAATCTTGTAGATGACTATAAAACTTTCCCTATGGCTCATATAAAATTTAGCCTGCTATTTTTTCTTCTGGATGTTGTTCTTGATTTTTCTTGAAATGTTTCTTCCTTTGTGCATCCCACTCCAAGAACCCTATTTTAATGCTCTCTCAAGGTCCGTTTTAAACCTTGAAAATACCATTGAAAGAAAACAGAGAGAGAGATACTAGAATGAAAGAAACATTGAGGCAAAGTATAAATAGCTTCAGACTCAGTAAATCCAACTCTTCTTAGCATTTGTTTCCTCTCCCTGCATTTTCTATAACCCAAACAAAACCTTGATGTTATGTATCCTGAAAAGGCGGGGAAGAGAGAACACTAGATTTTATGGAGAGGGAAGGACAAGTAGGTTCAAAGGTACCCCTACTGGAGGAGGACGGTGGCCATGAGAGGGGAATTATAAAGCATCCGTTCCCAACCAATCTTATTCTTAAGCCATGGAAGCTGGATCGATGGGTTTATGAAGTTATCAAGTTTGGGATTGTTCAGTATGTAAGTATCCTCTCTCTTTTTATGACATGTTAGCCCACTGCCAGCTGTTAATTTCTTTCTTTCTTGAATCATATAAATTGTTATCAAAGAACACATGAATCTTGATGGCAGATGATAATAAAAGCATTTACTGCTATTCTAACAGTAATTCTGGAAGCTTTTCATGCCTACTGCGAGGGAGAATTCAAGTGGAACTGTGGGTACGGGATGCATATTTCTTATTTCATAGATGGATAGTGCTTTTTAAACCCATAACCTTATTTCTTGTATGTTATGTGACCTTTTGTTTTCCTTTTCTTTAAGGTACCCTTACTTGGCGGCGGTTTTAAATTTCAGCCAGTCATGGGCATTGTATTGCCTAATTCAATTCTATACCATTACAAAATATGAGTTATACCATATCAATCCGCTGTACAAGTTTTTGACATTTAAGTCAATTGTGTTTTTGACGTGGTGGCAAGGGTTGGCCATTGCCCTGTTATGCAGCCTGGGCATTTTGAAGAGCCCAATTGCTCAAGCTTTACAGTTGCAGTCAAGCATTCAGGATTTTATTATTTGTATTGAGGTATTTGTTCTTCTCACCTGGACACACACACATTTTGGATGCTCAGTTGCTCACCAGTATTTTATTGGGTGTGTTTGGTTCAAGGAACTGCTAGTGAAAGGGAACAAATGCTAAGGAAGTTAAATTTTTTAAGTTTGGATTTCCCTCGATTAGTCTTTTGTTCTCATTTCCCTCTTAAAGTCTTTCCCTGGTATTTTCCGGGTTCCAAACGGACCCACTAATGATCAGTTCTATCTAATATAAGTTTGACTTGCTTGTGAATATTGTCCAGGACAGATGGGCATTGCTTCAATGGTCCACCTCTATGTTTTTCCTGCAAAGCCATACGAGCTGATGGGAGAGCGTTTTCATGGGGGTGTTTCAGTACTTGGGGACTACCTATCTGCTGACTGCCCCATAGACCCCGAAGAGGTTAGGGACAGTGAGCGACCAACTAAAATGCGTCTTCCGCACCATTCCGATGTTAAAGATTCAAGCAAAACGACCATTAGAGAGAGTGTTCGTGATGTTGTTATGGGTGCTGGTGAATATGTAAGTATTATCTCTAGCTAATTTCTTATTGAGCTTCTTTTTGATAGAAAAGTCTGTAATGCTGAATGCTAATGTAGTTAACTTTTGGTATTATTGACATGTTCAGATTAGCTAGACCAATGAAATGCATTTAAGCTGAGATATGCTTACTATTGAGATGTCCTCTTCTTGCCCGAGATATGTTATGTTAAAGGGAAAATGGACTTTGGTCCCTCAGTTATACGGGACAGTATGTTCAGTTTTGATATTTTACTTTTGCTTTTAGTATTAGTCTCATAATCACCATGTTGATTCTATTGTGGACTTCTGCATGTGAGAAATTAATTTTCCTTTTCTTCGAAATGCAATCTATATTGTGATTTCATGACATTAATTATAATCACAGAAAGATCGAAGAATCATAGAAATTCATATTGAGAGACTAAAATCATTACTTTAAGGATAATTTAGGGATTAAAACGTATAAGTGTTGGCGTATTGCCATTTTTAACCCTGGAACGAAATCTGCTCCCAATTAACTGATTGACCTGAAGTGTCATTCTTTCCCGATTTCCAGTCTCCCTCTCTCACAAACATAGAACTTAAAAATCTTGCTGAGCAGAACTGTGATACAAAGTGCACGCTTATATGCATAAAAGTGCACTTGTGGGTGTCTAGAAGTTGTCATCATATTTTGTAAGATAAGCTCATTTTGTTTCAAATTCTGACACAATTTATGTAATGTATGCATGTGCCCTTTTTGCTTACAGGGACAAGTGCACTTTTGTGACTAATGTTATCATATTTTCATAAAAAGTTACTCATATATATAACAATAATAATGCCAGTGTATTTGTACTATAATTGACTTATTTCTTACGGCTCCTGTTATGACAAGGGTTTGTGTTGCATCCAGATTGTGAATGATGTGAAGTTCACGGTGACCCATGCAGTGGAGCCAATGGAGAAGGGATTCACAAGATTCAATGAGAAGTTGCAAAAGATCTCTGAAAACATGAAACATGACAAACGGGGGAGGAGAGCAAAGGATGACAGTTGTGTGGCAACAACAACTCCATCATCTCAAACCCCAAGGTTTATACGTGGGATAGATGACCCTCTTTTAAATGGAAGTGTCAGCGACAGTGGGAGAACCACAACCTCTAAGAAAAAGAAACAGCGTCGGAATTCTGGGTACACCAGCGAAAGTGGTGGGGAGAGTAGCAATGATTATACTTATGGTGGTTTCCAAATACGTGGCCACAGGTGGGTTACAAAAGACTAGTTTGGGATACTCTACTCAGGATGATCAAGAAAAATAATATGGAGTAGTAACCCAAAGACGTCAGCATCTATTTGACTGGGCTAGTGTGTGGGCTTCAATCTCTCTGACAAATATGACGTCTCGAGGTAATCTTCATAGATGATTAAAGTGTTTGTGTTTGAAAACTGGATCTGTGTATAATTCTTGTAACACAAAACACGGCGTCATTGTATTTGTATCATAATAAAAGGCATCAAATAAAAATACCCAAAAAGAGTACTTTATTACGGAATCCTAGTAGTTTATGTGTAATTGTCTCTCACTGCGCCTCTCCTTCTTTGGGTAAGAATGTCACAAAAGAAGTCAAACCAGTGAACCACTTGTTTGTGTGTGTTTTTATGTTTATTGGGGGTTAGAATTAGGAAAAATTCGATCTTTGGTTCCCTGATCATTACATTATTCTCATTTGTATCCATAACATTAATTTACTTTTTCTATTTTTCATGCATATAACTGTGACTTTTTACCACTTTTGGTCCTTTCTTGCTACTTCTCCAGCGAAAGTAAACAAGAAATTGTATGCAAATCGACATATAGATGATCAAGAGACTCAGGACCATAATGAACAAAAAATAAGTAGTCATCATGAGAGTAAAAGCGGAAGAATGAATGTTTGGACCAAAAGTAAAAAATAAATAACAGTCGTAGGACCAAAAGTTGATTGTTTTCTCAGGATCACGGACTGTTTTTGAGTTCCAAAAGAGTATCCTTCAGTTCAGATTTGTTATGTTTGTCACTGCTGTCACATTTGATTCCTCGTGTCATTTTCTCACAAGATGGACAAGTTACTATAGTCTTCTTGGCCTTGGGAAGCTTGTCTGCAAATGGCGATAGCAGCTGCTCAAATTTGCATGACGTTCGCAGCTCATTTAATTCTCTTCTCAGCCGAATATTTTCATCATTCAGATTCTCGCAATACTTCTTCAACAGCTTGCAATCTACCTCGGTTTGCTTCAGTTTAGTCCTGCATATTAATGCATGAATTTCTGCTAAATTAACAGATGAAAAAGGATGAACACCTGAAAGTAACGAGATTAGGTTATTCACCTTGCCCTTCGATTTTGAAACCAAACTTCTACTTGTCTGGGCCTAAGATTCAACTTCGCTGCAAGTTCATGTTTCCGACCCTGCAATAGTGCAATCATGTACGTTTGGAACATGCAATGAGCCAATGATTATATTTCATACTCCCTCCGTAACATTTATATCTTCCCACTTTACTTTTTTGGATGTAACATTCATATCTTCCCATTTCATAATCTTCCAATCATACCCTCAATAATTTTAAAAATAATACACTATTACACCTATTTTTTTTGGATTTATCCTTCACTCCAACACATTATTTCACTATCTTCTCATCATACCCTCAATAATTTATATCCCCTTTCACTATTCTTAATCTACCTACTTTTCAAATGAGAACATATATATATGTTACGGAGGGAGTATTTAGAAGCAAAAAGAATGTACTGACGGCATATTATTTTAAATTTAAAGATTTGATTATTAACAAGTTATAATGTAGAAGGCTGAGTATTTTATTTATCGTGAAAAACACACTTTAATCGTTTATGATGATCACTCCAAATAGGGATGGACTCGGGCCGGGCCAACCGGCCCGGAACCGGACCGGCCCGCTACTGTGCGGGCCCGGACCGGCCCGGTCAACCGGTTCGGTTCCGGTTCAGGCCTCCAGGCCCGGTGGTATACCGGTCCGGGCCCGGGCCTCCAGTTTAGTGAACCGGCCCGGCCGGGCCGGGCCCGGTTCGGGCCGGAATTTAATTTTTTTTTTTTTTTGAAATTTTTTTAAGTTTTGGGTTGGATTAGGTATTTTGGGCCATTTGAGGTGGTTTGGGGTGGTTTGGGGTGGAGGGGTAGGGGGTTAAATAAGAGAAGAAGAAGAAAAAAAAAAAAAACATTCCGGGTGGCCCGGCCCGGCCCGGCCCGGCCCGGTTCTGGCCCGGAACCGGAACCGGAACCGCCCACCACCGGTTCGGGCCCGGGCCTCCTTTTTCTGAACCGAGGCCCGGCCGGGCCCAGGCCCGAACCGGGCCCGAACCGGAACCGGTCCACCCCTAACTCCAAACAAACCCAACCTTATTTCCAAATGTATACATGGATGGATTTTGAACCACTTTGTGGGTTGATTAATTATTGAAACTTTGAAAGGTTACATGTTGCATTTTGTCCTTGACCAACGTTCTGAGCTAATGTGGGCATATGATTTTGCAGATCTTGAAAAGTGAAGTGATTCGAAAAAGAAAATTAAACTTCAAATGAATACTCATATACGTAGTACTATGAATGAAAATTGATTCTTTTAATCAATTTTGAGTTGATTTAGCCCACTCTTTATAACGGGGTACCCTAAAGTATTACATTTACATATAGCATACTTCACTATTTGTCCTTCAGGGCTGGGGGGCAGAACCGATACTCTATATGGTGGGGGTAGTCGGGTACTCGGTAGAGAAATTATTGAATAGGGAATAAATTGTATACACGAATATTATAACACTAAAATGAAGGAGAATGAAACTTCACATTAGGAAATGAAAGGTTGATGCATAATTGATACCATAGTAAGGGTGGTATGATGCTTGAAACATTCTTCAAGTATTGCAGATTGTTCCTTATTTAACCTCAACTTCTTCCTCCCACAAGAATTCTCACATTCTTCCTCATCCATCTCACAGGGTTTAGAAGTCTCAATAATCTCCCCAGTTTGGTCATTGGGCTGAATGGGAAGGGAAAGATCCAAAGAAATGCCAATACTTGTTTGAGTGGGTAATTTTTCCTCCTTGAGATTGAAATGACCTAACCCGAGTCCTAGACCGAGATCGAGTACCTTGTCATCTTCTTCCATGGCTTAGAAGATGAATCATTAATCTTATAACTAGGTTCAGCAATGGCAATGTGCCATATTTATAAGTTAAGGTTCAACAAATTTGTAATCTGAGAAAGTATGCAATTATGACATGAGTTATAACTAAGACTTGATGTTATATGGAACCAATTTAATTGTTTTGACTATCATTATTATTTTTAACCAACAATTGTAGATAATATGTAATTATAACTCCTAATAAATAATATGCAATTATAACATGACTTATAACTTACATGTAAGACTTGATGAAATCAAGAAACCGACTTAATGATTTTGACTAGAGGGTTAAGGTAAGCCATCATTAATAACATGAGTTACCAAAGACTAAATAATAAATTGGAAAAAAACTAATTGCAATAAATATTAACTACATATCTAAAATATTTTGGTCATAATATATAAGTAGGCACACAAGCATGTATGTATATACATGGAGACATGCAGTCATGCACATACTCATCATCATATGAGAATATAAACAAATATTTTGGTCATAATTAGGGTAGAAAATTGTTGAATCCTGCACTCCCATTCGAAATGATATACTCTGAAATATAATGATAAAGTGTTACAAGAAAGCAATTCAACAACTAATATTAACAAATGTTGCACTAAAATAGTCTTAGATCCCGTTTGGTAACACTAGAATTGGTTGAATCGGCTGAAAAGTGATGAAATCGATGAAACTCTGATTGAAGTAGCCGAATTGGCTAAATATGTTGAATTGTGAAAAAAATTAAAATATAGTATATGAATACGGAGTAAAATATAGAAAAGATTATATGAAAAATAGCTAATATAATCCTCTGTGTCAATTCAGCAAAAAAAGTAAATGTAACCTTACTTATTTTGAATATTGTACAATTTAGCGTGCGAAATCAAAATTACCATGTATAAATGTGGTAAAAAATGGTTGATAAGTCTTTTCAACCAAAAATAAAAGTTACCAAACGAGCTCTTAATTTCAAAGACAATAAGAAAGATCACATTTTGTTGTCTTTGGCAGATCCAATCTGAACTTCCATACAAATGTAGCAGCATTTTCTATTTCAAAACGAAGTTAAACTCTTGATGAAGCAGATCCAGATCCTATTAGACTATCTTCAGCTTGACACACATATACATACTAACCTGCTCAGAATAAGTAAATCAAGGGTCAATGTGAAGTTCACAGCAAAGATGATATAATGCCAGTGTACTGAAGAACACTCAAAGATTGATTCACAACATGCCAGTAATGAAAGGGATTCACAACATGCTAGTAATGAAAGGGTTCCTCCTATTTAGGATGCTCATTAAAAGATGCAATTATCTTGTGATAATTTGAGGTGATAATGTTCTACTACACTACGTTTGGATAGTGCAAAATGCTAGAAATGGGAAAGAAATATGATCAGACATTTGTTTTACATATGTTTAGATTTCTTAGTATTTATCGAATATAAATAAATTTATTCCTAATTTCTCTTCTATTCAATTTCACTTGGATCTTCAGAATTCCAAACCAATCCTTAAATGGTTGTGTAATATCAACCGGCATGATTATGATGCTCTTTTTTGTTGCTAAGAAAGATCTTCTTTATGTTTACAATTGTTTCAAATTATCAATCACTACAAACAGGGGCCCTTCGGGGGTTACACATCCACATCCCTAATTTCACTACAGAGTACAAACAGGGCCTCATGTAACTTTTGATTCATATTTTATTCAATAAACATACAATTTTATTCTTCATGTAATAACTCATGATCTTGCCCTATCTAGTTTTCCAATTCTATTGTCCTCTGAGGCTCCCATGTAGAAAGGTTTTTACTTTTGCCTCACAAGGTATAAACCTCACTCCCTTATAAAATGCATATAGGTGTTGCTGAATTGGCCAATTACTCATTTTCTAAGGAATATACATTTGGAATGCTGAAATAGCTCTTACTTGTATGTACTCCGTACTATATAATATCCACCAGAAAATAAAAAGATCGAATGTTTAGCTTAACCAATATTATTATGATGGATGATAGAGAATCTAGTCATGGAAAAAACACAATGTACATTCAGCCGAAAAGAAGAATCACTACATAAAATAGGAAGGAGCTCAGATTAGTTATTAAATCCCCAACACACATTTCACTAGAAATTTATATGTAGTACTCCGTAATATATTCTTACATGCGTTAACAGATTACCAGCACTAGTACTTTTGTTCAAGTGGTCTTTCCAAAAAGGCTACTTGAATTGCTTTCAAGTTCTTTCTAGCTAATAGAGATTATTTAAAACACTCACCCAAGAAAATGAGCCAAACTGTTTCTATTCTTTAAAGGCAAACTAGGAAAGCCTGTTTGGTAAGACTAAAATTGATCAAATCAGCTGAAATTGCTGGGGTTATGCCTGAATCTCCTCGATTATGATAAAATTATAATAAAATATACTAGTATGTAAATGATAAAAGCTAAAATGATCCTCTTACGCCAATTCTGTCAAAAGAGTACAACAAACCTTACTTCTTTTCATCATTAATCAATTCAGGGGTGAAATTCAAAAATTAGTGTTCCATAAACAATCTGACATATAAGGCTGAGCCCAAAAACAAGGCTTCAAAATGGGCACTAAATATCCACAAATAACATCATCAAGAGGCACTGGAAGTTCAGTAAATTACATATATAATGTAACTTAAGAGCTTACTTAGTTACTTACCCTCAAAAGGAATCACCACACTCTATCTTCTCTTCAAATTGACATACTTTTTATTTCTTTAGCTAGGCCTTCCACAATGCAGCTATGGTCTTGAAGCAGAAGAAGAGTTTCTAAGTAATTACCAACATAAAGTGAGCGGCTAGTTCCAAAAATTCCAAGTTTATTTACTACTCGAGTGTTTGGACAGTATGAAACGAGCTCACTCTTGTTCGTGGAGAATAAAATGTCACCATTTTTCCTAAAGCCAACGATTCTTTCCATCCCTTCGACCAATTCAATAGAATGTAGCCTACTCCAAGATTCCACAACCCCATACTCTTTCATTACCCACAGTATACAAGAACCTCCATGGATCTCTCTATCAAACTTAACAACAGCAACAGACTCATCCAATGCCATAATATATAAATTTGCTGCACGTTCCTGGGACAATTCATCTGGAAGCATAATCTTACCAAACAACTCATCAGCCATGGAGAAAACTGCTACAGAGCACTCAAAGCTCTCATTATCCAATGATTTGCACCCAATCCAATGAATGCCCCCACAGACGAATGTTTGAGAGTTGAGACTAAATGAAATCGCTCCTTCTCCACTCCCCTGTGCTTAGAGAATAAACCTCAGCCTCCGGCGGGAGGTCACACAGATCCAAAAAGTCACCATTTCTTTCATACGAAACTCTCACGACTTTCAGATCATAAGCACACTTGGGGTCCACACCAAATCCCAATACAGACTTAAACGGGCGCCCTAATTTGATGGTAGGAGGCGGTAAGATCAAATGCTTCCGAATACTAGGGTTCCACAGGGTCACATCGTGTGAATCGCTATACAAATCGTCATATGAGCAAACGACGCCGTTGAAACAGCCAACTACACGTGAGTACCCGACTCGACATGCAACCTGGGGGCTGAGTTCGGAAGAGGAGGTCAGGAAAGTGAATGGCTATTGAGGATTTCGTATTTTTCCTTTTTTGATTCACTTTCATAACGCCTGAGGAGGAGGAGGAGGGTGTTGGCAGAATTACCTTCCAGAGAATGGCGGAGGTGCGCGGAGGCGAAAGTGAAGCACTGAAGCTGGTGATGAGGAAGAACCGGGAGCCTTGTGAGAATCTCGATCAGTATTTCTTCCGGAAAATGGCGGTGATCCGCCATTGTGGAGCTTCGAATAATGGAGAATTGGAGACCCATAAAAATTAATCTCATACTCCGTATTTACTATTTATGTGCCGTAATCGTATGGTTAAAATTTTACATTTAACTGTGGCAACACAAGGTAAATCGGAGTAAGAAAAATTGCATCGGCTTCACAAAAAAAACCCGGCCTGCTGGTCTCGATCCAGCGACCTACGGATTGACACAGTTAATCCGGTCCAACAGTTCAGCGTCGGACTCAACCCGTCGCTCTGCCAACTGAGCTAAGGCCGGTTCTTGTTCACCGTATTACTCGTTACGTATTTATACAGTACGAACAACTTTATGTGTAGGATACTACGGAGTTACGTATTTTCACGGTATCCACTTTACACACAAAATTCTAGAACAGTTTGTATTGAGTACTAGTTATTTATACGCGCGTTGCGCGATTAGGTAAATGCTCAATGTCTTTTTCAAAAATATGTATATTGTATTTTGATTTGATAACAATTTTATTAGCATTTGTAATATTACAATTTAGAGGATTTCACAATTCATTGTGTGAAATTAGTCTCCACATTTTAGCGAACAATTGGTTTAATTCCTAATAAAGATAAATCGGAGAACGGTTTATAATGGTGTGTAATGTAATATGAAAATGTTACTCCACCAACTGGGACTAAGCGTAGATGCGACATTTGCAAGCGGAAGAAGCTCTGGGGAAGCAGTTTTCATAAACCAACGAGGAGAATTAATCTCAGCGGTGAATTTTCTCATGCTTATTCGATCAATTCTTCAAGCGGGGATGGAGGCTACGATGATCCTTGAAGAGCCCCAGAGTGTGGCCGGTGCTGGGCAGCTTGCCCGACCCCATTGAGAAATGAGAACTCTGAACGTTTGGGGTGATCCTGTCCTTGGCTCCGAAACACGGCGTCATTAGGGTCATTTGGAATTAGGGATGGACTGGGACGGGCCTACCCGGACCGCTACCCGACCTGGCCCTGCCCGATTGACCGGGACCAAGCCCGGGGCCAGAGCCGGATGAAGAAGCAGGTGGTACGCGGATCCTATTTTGGCGGAACTTCCGGGCCGGTTCAGGCCCAAAGGTCATATATTTTTTTAAATTGTCCATTAGCCTGGTTGCTAGGTTTGGGGTGGGGGTGAGGGTAGGGAGATGGAATTAACAAAAAAAATTAAAATAGGCTCGACCCGACCCGACTTGAGGTGCGCCCGGTAGCCCGGACCTGACCCGATACCGGTATGCGGGCCGGTACCTGGCATAATAATCTTTGACCTGTAGCTTGTCGGGGCCCGGTCCGAGGCCCGACCCGTCCCAGTCCACCCCTATCTGGAGTAGAATCCATCTTGAGGACCTGATTTGACAATTATCCAAGGAGATTAATCTATAGCCACATTCAGGAGGGTGTGCAAACTGCCTTTAGGATATTTTTACTTAGACCGTTTTCAGTCTCATATCAGACCAGACTATAAACGGACCAGATCACACCAGGCCAGACTGAAACAGACCAGATCAGATTAGACCAGACTTAAACAGATCAGACCAAATCAAACCAACAAATTACAGTCTAAGTAAAACCATCCTTATTCTTAAATTCCTAATCGATCGGTTTATTTTAGAATTTAAAAGGGGATGATGACCTGATTGCTTTCTCCACAAAAAAATCTGGTTAATTATGGCAGGAAAGTCCTTATAAATTTCACAAAGTTACGTAGTACATCAATACATGTTCAAGCCAACCTCGAGGTGTTCAAATAAACGAATAATTGTGTTGGATTGGAGAAAATATTAATGGGAACAGCCGAACAGCAACTAAACGGCCGCTTCAAGCAACGGAAGGATAACGGCCAAATCATCATGTTAATTAGGTGTACATTTTTTAAAGGGATAAAGGCCAAAAATGACACTAAGGTCATTTAAAAAACCCATATTGGACACTAAACTTTGAAGTAGACCAAATTAACACAAACTTTAAGTTTTTGCATCATATTTGGACACCGGTGGCTTTCCCCGTCAATTATGAGGTTACCGTCCATCTTTGCCCAAAACTAAGAACTCCGGCTCCCATTTCTTTTCGCTGAATGCAAAAATTCATCACACCCCACATAGAGGGCGAACTCTTGGAAATCCAAACCAGACACATATACATCCTCCCTCATCGCCCAACAGCATGTTTTGACTCCAGCGAACCTGCAAAACTCATCACTTATTTCCCCCCTTCACGCAAAACCATGTTCTAGCTCCGGCAGATCTGAGAGACTCACCACTTGCACTCGGAATTTGAAATAGCAATGCAAACAATGGCAGGGGATGGAGGAATTGACCGTCCACACTCCTTGTTTGTTCCATTTCGTCGGCCTAGATTGGGGTGTTACTCCTTCTTCCGGTAATTTTCCCAGCTCATTCTATTTTGAAACAATAATATGTGAAACTGATGTTCAAGCTAGCGATGGTTTTCCTTGATTTGGAGGAAAATAAAGATGTGATTGGATTGAATATTGCTTATTATAAGTGAATTTGGATCGATTGGACTGAATATGGCTTTGTAAGAACGAAAGAAACAGAAAAGTGGACAGTCCAGAGTGTAGTGGGGCAGAGGAATCAATTTGGGTAACACTAGTACTAATAGCTTCTTCCAAGTATTGGATGTCGATGCACTTCTTGTCTTGGACTCTGGCAAGTGAAGGCCAGTTTTTCCACGAAGGTGGAAGAAGGGTCAGGATAGACCCTTGCAGGGCTGGATGGGGACAGGAAAAGAATGAAGACAGAGGACGGAGGAAAGTGAATGGCTGGAGACGGGTTAAATGAGCAGAAGAGACGGTGGTGGAGAAGTGAACTGGAGAAGCAACGATCGGAGTCCGCTGGTGCAGTCGGCCAAGCTGGTGAAAAAATTGACAGTGGGGCGGGGGCTATTAACGATCTAACGTTGTTGGTCTTAACGGAAATATAAGTGGGTGGCCAACTATAACCCAAATAAGTTGATTATGTGTTAATTTGGTCTACTTCAAAGTTTAGTGTTAAATTTGATTTTTTAAATAACATTAGTGTCATTTTTGGCCTTTCTCCCTTTTTTAAAACATGAAATACAAGTATATAATGCTAAGCTTTACACCAACACTTTTTCTATACCTAAAATGGCCTAACCTACATTGGTTCTTATAAGATTTTAGATACCACGGTAATCGTAATACGTACTCGGTATTACTACGTACCCCTACGTATTTTGACGGTATCCACTTTACACTCTCATTTTACCTTTTTGGTCCGTCCCACAAGATTGTCTCATACCTTATTTGGTAAAGTTTGTATGGTTCTAATTCATTCCTACTTTATTCTTACTTTATCAATTCAATATCAACCACATAAACCAACTTTTATTAATAACTGTGTCACCTTCTCTTGTCCCAAACTTAGGGGGACGGAGGTAGTATATTTTTGAAATTTCTTACTCCCTCCTTATTTAAGAGATCCAGATGTAAAATTATGAACAAGATTTAAGAGAGAATAGTTGGTGTAATGAATATTATATAAAAGATGTTAAGACATGGGGTTCCATCCTAAAAGGTCAACCTGATAGGAGGAGTAACTCAGATCTTAATATAGTGTTTAATTCTTTCAGAGATATCCGGTGTGAGACTTTAACACCCCTCCTCACGACTAGACATTTCGTCTGGATTGTGCCAGGGATTGATCGAGGTGCTAGGGTTCAAGACAGTTATTTTGTCCTTTGTGTTCTTGTTACTGTCTATGCTAGGTTTGCCAGTTTGTTTGAGTTTTTAGCCTTTTTTGTGTCATTGGGTATGCTTGGATCTGTGGGAATCAAGATGGCTGTGTCAAGCCCGATACATGGTCAGCGATTCGTGTGGCTCTTTCATGGGTGACCGTCTCCAAGTCTGGCCATAGGGTTTACAATCATAGTTATTGGTGTTTAGTTGGTGTCGGGTTTGTATTTCCTTTAATTGATGTAATAATCCTGAAACTACTTATGATATGAAAAGAGGTCAGCTTCGTTCCAAAAAAAAGTGAGCTCCCACCTACTTTTAGGGTATTTTCGTAAATTTCTTACGAATTGCTTAACCCTTCATCGGCTCTTGCATTTTCTCCTTCAGAAGTTCCTGCTCCCCCAAAGCCTCCTCCTCCAACATGGATCTCAAAGCCTCCTTCTTCTAAACGTGACCAGTAGCTCTCCTTATTTTTCGCAAGTCATCATCATCATTACCCCAGTGTCGCAGAGTCTCCCACCTACAGTGGGGTAAGGGGGTCGAATGTACGCAACCTTACCCTTGTACTAAAGTATAGAGAGGTTGTTCCCAGATGACCCATAGTGAAAATCGAGTCAAAAATTGCATAGACTGACTGCTGCTTCATAACAAAGAAGCGCAAACAGTTTAGTGAGCCAATTTGCTTTATTCCATCATATTCTCAAGCCAAAAACATCGAGTTTATGACCCATAATGAGTTTTTTGCAAGTATTGCATTATATTTATCAAATATATATATTTTCTCTACTGTGTTATATATCTCTAAAAATTCACATAGTATATTATATACTACGTATATAAATACGTACACATAACTTTTGTGTTAGGTTTATCCCAAGACTCTTGATGACCGGAAGCCTTCATTTTATTTTGATGGTACATTAGCTATCAAAAACTACATAAAAAATGTGTATTTTGTAATTTTTGTCTAACTACTTAGTCATATGATTAGATTTTTATTTTTAGTTGAGTTGTACACTTGTACCTATATACTTTTCATGTCCCTTCGTCTTATCTCAGAAAAATGCTCTTTTTACATTGATTTGTTTTTCAATTCTCTAAATGTACCTTTAATATTGTCTTTACAGGGGCAAGATGGTGGCATGGTTTGATGGATGATGCTCAACACATTAATACGTCATGAATAAAGAGAGAGACGTATTTTTTGTGTAGTTTTTGTTCTAGAGTTTTAGTTTAGCTTATGGACATGTTTATACTTTATATTTAAAGATTAAAGATAATTGATTTTATCTAAATCCAAGACATTGAGGTTT